GTGGAGGTAGAACTATAGTCTAGTTTGTTTGTTTTCTTTCCTTGTTGAGGTTCTAGGCCGCTATATGCGTGTCCTCCCACTTTTAGCATTTCCTTCTCGGGTTGGATTGTACTATTCGAACTTGGTTCGCTTGAGTTTTTAATAGAATCCCTATCGTTTCGACAAAAAAAAAAAAACAACAACATATAATTAATTATATTTTTACTCCAACAACATAAAATTGTCAATTAATTTATAAAAAACACCACAAAAACCCTAATCACCAATCTATATTTAAAATGGCTAATAAAACACACGAGAAAAATTGTCAATTAATTTATAAAAAACACCACAAAAACCTTAATCACCAATCTACATTTAAAATGGCTAATCAAACACCAGAGAAAATTTCAATTATTATTTTATCAATCTACATTTAAAACATATTTCCAACAACAACATATAATTAATCATATTTTTACTCCAACAAAAAAAAAATGTCAATTAATTAAGTACAATTGTCAATTAATTTAACAAAAATACCACCAAAACCCTAATCACCATAATCCAACAATAACATTAAATTCATAAACAATTCGGATAAATATTCAACATACATTAAACCAACATTCAAGATTTTCTAAACAATAGCAAATAACAAATTATAACCATTTAACACAACTATAAAACCAACATTCAAGATTTTATAAACAATACTCAATCAACCAAATATATATCTTAAACATTCATAAACAACAAAAAAATAATATTACATTACATTAAAATAAAAACTAACCTCTTCTCCGAATATTGGTTGAATTTTTTTTTTTAATGGAGCTTCAATTCGCCGAAAATTCACGAAAGATTTTTTTTTTTTTTTTAACGGAACTTCAATTCGCCAAAAATCGAACAAAAGACACAAAAATATGTTTGTGGAACAAAATTCGCAGGCGCAGTTGGGGGGGTTTGTGTTTGGGTTATATCAACCTAAAAACGGATTTTGAAAATCCGTTTTTATCGTTTTTACATAAACACGGATTTTCAAAATCCGTTTTAATCGTTTTTTTTTTTTTCCCGCAAAACACGGATTTCCAAAATCCGTGTTATAAATTAAAAAAAATCCGGATTAAAAATTTGACCGTTGACATAAAAAATAAAAAAAAGAAACACGGATTATGAAAATCCGTGTTTGTATTAAAAATTTAATTACAAACACGGATTTTCAAAATCCGTGTGTTTGATTGATTTCCACCAATTTTTTTTTTTTTTTATTTTTTTCCACAGATTTTTGTTTTTTTT